AATGTGTCTAGATAGAAGGATGGAAGTTTCATCTGAGTGCATAAATTCGTATGTCTAAAGAGACAAAGACGATATTTGAGAAAAAGCAAAAGGGGAAACAGAAAAAAGAAAAAGGAGAGTACATAAAACAAAGGCCATGACATCACAAGAGAAGGTCAGTTAACCGCCGGCTGTGGTTGCTCACGCTGATCAATGCAAATCATTGTGGCAATCATCGTTTACCGTGGTCTTTTTGGTCAATTGTCACCATATTAGTATTGAATAATCAGGAGTATACCATACTTTTTTTTTTCTTGCTTTCTGATTCTATTGCTTCATTAGTTAATTGTGTACACCAATTTACTTTTACTTTTTGAAACATGTTTGAGCAAAGAAGCTAACATTTGGGAAAGGAAGGAAATGATGCCTTTGTAAAGCTGGCATATGCCCTATTGAGTTGGTCCATTTGTTTACATGTTCGATTATTTAATAGTTTTATGAGATATACATGTGTCAAGAAATATTCCATGTCCAAGCAAACTAAGATGGCAAAGTAAAATGATTGGGGGCTTTAGTTCCAAAATCATCCTTTTTCCTTGAGGAACATCTTTGGTTCCAAAACCTTCTCAGTGCCATGCATGAGACTCAATGTTACCCATATTCTTTTGTGACACTGTCATGCAAAAGAAGAGAGCTAGCTAGGGGCAAGGAAAAGCTTTTCATGTCACCTGCTATGAATGAAAAGGCTTTATGTCACCTCTTACTCCTAATATATTTCCCCCCTCATCTTTTCGGAGCTTTTGCAAAAACAGTTGATTGGACCATGGACGGCTAACACTTGAACTGAATGCTTCCCATGCAGACTGCATGCATGTGTTTATTTAGGCGCTGGCTTCCTGGTAGGGTTGAAGTTACAATACAACTTTTGCATGTGTAGTGGAGGAGGCATATGAGCACGCAGCATGGTCCTGATACTGCCCTTCTCAGATTCTTCCAGACCACTGTGATCCTATGAGTACCTCCGTTTCGTCTCAAAATGTTAAGACTGTTGCGTCAACTTCTTTTTTATATACTCCCTCCGTCTCAAAATAAATGTCTTAACTTTATACTAGTTCTAGTATAAAGTTGTATTAAGGTTAGAGACACTTATAAAAAGCATAAAGCAAATTTTTACTGCTTCCAGCCTCTGTATAAAATAAATACATAAAAACCTTAACAGTTTACACATTTCGTGTCCGATGACACCAAGTGTGAAATAAGATCACATATCATCCACTAGATTTAAAGAACGCTGAGATTGTTACTGGAAAGAATGAAGAGGATGTGTGTGTCTCAGTTGGGGCACTTAAACACAAACCTGGCCAAATGGGCCGGCCTGGCCCGGCATGGCGCGGCCTGAGTTAAACGAGAAAATTCCTTATTTGACACTGTCTTAAAATCTGGTTTCTTATTTGACACTGAAAAAGTTTTTCTTCCCTATTTGACACTAGTCCTAAATTTTATTCCCTATACGACACTTTCGTCCATTTTGAGCCTAAATGATACCTGAAAAGACGATTTTACCCCTCATGCGGTATGTGTGTGCGCGCGCGTGTGTGCTGTTGCGTGTGTGGGTGCACGCGCACATGTGTGCTGCTACTGCATGTGTGTGTGCATGTGTGCTGCTGCGTGTGTGTTTGCTACTGCGTGTGTACGTGCGCGCGCGCGTGTGCTGTTGCGTGCCTATGTGCTGCCTGCATGTGTGCTGCTGCTGCTGCATGTGTGTGTATGTGTGTGTGCTGCGTGCGTGTGTGTTGCTGCGTGTGCATGCGTGTGTGTGCACGTGCGTGTGCGTGTTGTTGCGTGTGTGTGTGCGCGTGCGTGTGTGTTGGTGCATGTGTATGTGTTGCTGCGTGTGTGCTCATGCCCTCGCACTGATGCTGCGTGTGTGCACTATTGCCCCCCACACACATACCACATGAGGGGCAAAAGAGTCTTTTCAGGTGTCATTTAGGCTTAAAATGGACGGAAATGTCATATAGGGAATAAAAATTAGAACTTGTGCCAAATAGGGAAGGCATTTTTTTCTAGTGTCAAATAAGGAAGCACATTTTAAGATAGTGTCAAATAAGGAATTTTCTCGAGTTAAACTGGCCAGGCACGGCACGGCCCGACCAGGCATGCTTAGTAGATGGGCCGTGCCAGGCCGGCACACATGCTGACCTCCATGGCCCATGCACAACACCACTATTAAATGGGCTGACTAGACTAGTTTGTTTTCTTTGAACTGCTCTTGAACCTTTGTCGATACCTTGTTATGCTCGGTGGTTGATTTATAATATAAAGCGGGGGAAACCCTTTTTCGTCACTATTAAAAGGGCCGGACCATCGACACGTTTCACTACAAAAAAAGACACATTCGTGACATTTTCGGCCGAATGAATTTTTTTTCTGTCATACATATGACACTTCTATGACGATAATTGTGACAAAACCCGGTATCATCATAGATGTGGTGGGCTCCTACTTCTATGACAAAAAATCATGACAAAAAATGGGCTTTTCGTCCTGTGCGGGCCGGAGACGCAGCTGCATGACATTCTTTGGGCCGTCCATGACGGAAAAAAACATGGTAGAAGCGAGGGGGGGAAAATTTTGGGGAGTTCCCGATTACGGTGGGAGGTCGGGGGCCGAGCGATGCGCGTTTCTCTCGTACAAATACGCGCGTGTGTGCGAGGCATTGGCTCTAACTGAACCCGAGCGAGGCGTTGGGCTCTAACTGAACCCGAGCGATTGCACTGCAGGCTACGCGTTACTGAACCCGAGCGATTGATCGATGGTTGTTAACTGAACCCGATTGAGCCATTCCTTCGCTACTGCTGCTAACTGAAGCCGATCGATGCTGCCTCTGGGATGAACAGTGAGCGTTGCGGGGGGTTTGGATGAACAGTGAGCGGTGGCGTTGCCTCTGGATGAACAGGACCCCGTGGTGTGGTGGAGGGCTGGATGAACAGTAGACAGTGGAGGGGTGCCCGTGGAGGGGTGGTTGAACAGGACCCCGTGGTGTGAAGGGCTGGATGAACAGTAGACGGTGGAGGGGTGGTTGAACAGTAGCCGATGGAGTAGCGCGTGGTGGAGGCTGGATGAACAGGAGCCCGTGGAGGCTGGAGGAGGTCGACGGTGAAGATGAAGAATATCCCGTGGAGTCCCGTTTTGCGGTACGCCACACCCCTCCTGATGAACAAGACCCCCGTTTCGACCGTAGGAGGTCCGTTTCGTCCGTTTTGCGGTACGCCACACCCCTCCCGATGAACAGGACCCCCGTTTCGACCGTAGGAGGTCCGTTTCGTCCGTTTTGCGGTACGCCACACCCCTCCCGATCAACAGGACCCTCGTTTCGACCGTAGGAGGTCCGTTTCCTCCGTTCTACGGTAAGCCAGGCCTAGTTTCCATCGCCTATTCCGTCCAAGCCCTCCCGATGAACACGACCACGCATTCCGTTCCGACCCAGTCGGTTGGCTCCCACGCGTTCCGTTGCCTCCCGATGAACACGACACATTCCGTTGCCTCCCCATGAACACGACGCATTCCGTTGCCTCCCCATGAACACGATGCATTCCGTTGCCTCCCCATGAACACGATGACGACACTGTTTCTCCGTTCCGACCCAGCCATGTACACGAGCCCTGGCCGTACGTATGCGCGAGTAGGCGTTCGAGACCCCGCCCGTATATACACATACGTGGCCGTATTTTCTTTCTTGCACCCTGGCCGCTGTACGTACGTGTACATGCTACGTACGCGCCTCTACTACGACACGTACGCGCCTCTACATCCACCAGTATATATGTACATACACGTTCGCGACTAGAATGACAACGCTACGTACGCTTCGACCAGGTGGGTCCCGACTATGAGGCACTTCCTTACGTGCAAAGATGTAGCTGGTGGGTCCCAGCAGTCAGGGGGAAGAATCATTTTTTTTGCCCGGACACACTTCCTTGCGCGCGAAGATGTAGCTGGTGGGTCCCAGCAATTTGGGGGGCGAATCATTTTTTTTTGCCCGGACGCACTTCCTTGCATGCGAAGATGTAGCTGGTGGGTCCCAGCAGTCAAGGGGAAACATTTTTCTCGCGAAATACGATGGCCCGTCCGGTGGGTCCCCGCTGTCAGGTGGAGGAATCATTATTTTGCGCGTAATAAGGAGGCACTTCCTTGCTGCGGCTGTGGACCCAACTGTCAGCCTTTCCATGTACAGTCCATGTTCGATGGAAGTCATTCCTTGACCACGTTGACCACTGAAAGATCGTGGATGTCGCCTAGAGGGGGGGGGGTGAATAGGCGCTTTAAAATAATTACGGCTGAGGCTTGAACAAATGCGGAATAAACCTAGTGGTTAATTTGTCAAGCACAAAACCTACAACAACTAGGCTCACCTATGTGCACCAACAACTTATGCTAAGCAAGATAAACTACTAGGTGATAGCAAGATATATGACAAGAAACAATATGGCTATCACAAAGTAAAGTGCATAAGTAAAGAGCTCGGGTAAGAGATAACCGAGGCACACGGAGACGACGATGTATCCCGAAGTTCACACCCTTGCGGATGCTAATCTCCGTTTGGAGCGGTGTGGAGGCACAATGCTCCCCAAGAAGCCACTAGGGCCACCGTAATCTCCTCACACCCTCGCACAATGCAGGATGCCGTGATTCCACTAAGGGACCCTTGAGGGCGG